AGCCTGGGAACAAGATAGTAAATTAAGTAAGTATTACTACTCATAATATAAAATGTTTAGGAACTAACATTTGTTAGTTTTTCTGTTAAAATTATTTTTTTTGTGTCAAAAGACTGTATTTAGCTTAAAAAAATAATATCTGCCTAACAGTTCAATTAATAGACAGTTAATGAATACTACTCTGAACAAATTATCAAAATTTGGTGTTTAGTACTTAAATTTGTTCCCAATGAAATCATATATATTAAAACTTTACAACTACGCATTAGATATTACAAATAATTTACCAATTAAAACTAGTGGTAATTTTAAATAACCTGTATTTTAGTAGTATATGAGTTTTCTCTTGAATGTGATGTTAAACTAGTTATATATCATTGGATATTTTTACATTAAAAGATCACTGTAAAAATCAAGAAAATTTTAAAAGAATGTACTATCCATAGTCATACAACTGTATTCTCACATTTTCTTATGTATTCTTATATATTATGTATTTTTCAAATTATAATAAACATTATTTTATACTATATTCATCAGGTTTGATTAAATATTCCTGTTTTACTTACCATACAATACTGTTACCCTACTGTTAACTGCATATAGTTAAATCACTGGCTTTTCTTACTTTTGCTGTGATTTGTAGATGCATTTAACATCTTCATGTGTCTTGAATAGAGGTATTGCTGTCCCAGAAAGTGTTGAAATGTCTGTGATTTCGTTCATGGTATTGAAATCTTTGGGCTTTTGCTAGGGTTTTCCATATCAGTTTCTCAAGTGGGTAGGCTTGTTCATAGCATTTTAATAATTTATCCATAGCATTGTGTTTTGTGTCAGACCAATTTGCTACTATGAGTAAGGTGTTTTTGTTTCCTATCCCTTAGAGCTCTAATACCCTTCAGTGTTTCTGTTGTCAAATACAGCTGTTTTATTAAATGGATGATAAAACATTTGGCCTAAAGAGGCCTCACTTTGGTAAATTTAAGATAAGCTACTTTTAGAAATAAAAATTTTAATTGAATTAGAGATTAACTATGAATTGACTTCTATGTAGCTCTTTACATGAAGAAGACATCATTTGACCTAAGATACAATGGTGGTTAAAATAGATAAATGTTTAAATTAATTTAAATTAATTTCAGTAAAAGACACATTGCCATTAATCCTCCTCAGAATTTTCCAACTTTTTTACCACTTTCTAAAGTAGTTCTGAAAGTTCTTTTTGATGTTTTAAAAAAGTATATCAATAATTTGGTTAATGCCACTGCTGAGTGTCATCTAATGAAAAGACAGACTCATAAAATAATTGTGATGTGTTCTTATCCAATTTATTTCACCAGATATGTTACATGCAACTTCTGGTTCTTCTGCAAAGTCGAAATGACCATGCAATGTAAACATATCTAAAGACTAAGATATCAAGGCAGGCATAATAGATACTGCAACTAAAGACATGACAGAGGACTTCTAGGACTGGTGCAAAGGTGGCAGGAATGGCCTGATCAAAATAAACGCACAGTACAGTTTCACGGTGGCATGCGCCTGTAATTCCTGCATTTGAGAGGCTAAGGTGGGAGACAGCTGTGAGTGTGAGGCCAGTGTGCCATGGTTCAAGGTCCGCCTGAACTACGTAGTGAGACCTGTGCCTCCCCCGGCTCCCCCAAAATGGAGGCAAGAATGATGGGACAAGTGTATTTGAAGCAAGATGATTCTGAGGGGAGTTAACAGTTATATCTGTGATTATAATAAAATTTTTAAAAGTTTAAAGTTTTACCGTATTTTTTAATAATAGCTTGTACAAGAGTTGTACCTAAAACTTAAATAGGTTCTGTGTTTTAGTCTCCCTTTAACAACTGCCAAATTTTTATAGAAATTCTTTAATTTTTTTGTTATCTAATCTCTTCATGCATGGCTTTATACCAGTGACATGAAATTTTTGGTTTTATGTATTTATTTATTTTTAATGATGCTGGGCCTTGTGCATCTCAGGCAAGTGCTGCACCGCTGAGTTATATCCCCGGGTCCCAGACCCTGGTTTAAGTTGTAAGAACTCTTCTGAATTTCCTCTTAGCCATCCTTGTGTCTTAATTTAAATAAATCACCTCATTACGTTTACCATATCAGATGGCTGATCTGCTACAGACCATGTCACATGTTCCCCTTTATTTTTTGGAAGTCAGCACAGTATGGAATACAGAAGGAGACTTATGCCCTTTGTATATTTATTTTTAGTATGGATTTTGTCCTTTGTGGTTTTTCACATCTTTTATGATTGTTCAAAAAATTTATTACTTTAAGAAATCCAGTTGTGAAACTTGAAATTACAGAATTAGAAAAATACAGAGTTTTTGTTGGCATCATAAAATACTGCTTAAAAAGTGAATCATACTTAATTCTATCAAATAATTGGCCACCCTAAACATGAGTTTTGAGTCTCTAAAAAACAGTATAAAAATTATTTTTCTGGCATATGTCTACTATGCAAAAGAAAATGTGTTTTTCTCTCACCAAAAAATAGGTAACTAATGACACTTCTGTGAGATTTCTTTTCATGGTTAACCAGGGCTTATGACCCCCATTTAATCAGTTTTATGTCCAAAGACAAACCTTTTAATTAGCTATGTATAGCAGCTATTAAAAGAATATAAAATATTTGCTATCAGATGTGTTCAAAGGCTAAATAATATCCATGGTTTTAGATCCTATTTGGTAGTCTCTTAAATGTTATGTCTTCGTATTTTACTATTTAGCTTGTCTCACTGTTATCTTAAAAATCAAATCATTGCATTTATATTCACAAATTAATATTGCTTTATACTTTTGGTTCTCATACAGTTTACATTCTTCCTATAAAAGTATGTTTGTTTACCTTTTTTTCTACATGTGACATTTTTACACTAGAACATTTACATTGCTGTTTCAGCATTTCCTTGTAGAATATTATTGTCTGATAAAGAACAAATTCCATAGGCATTGAATAGAATAGATGTCAGATTCGCAAGAAATAACCAAGCTAAGGATAGAATCCAGTCTGTCATGGTTAAAAAAGCTCAGTACCTTATTACTCTATTACTTTTTCTTATTTATAACATCTAAAATAATTTTGAAATAAACAAGATTGATTTAAGTACTGTTGTGCACAGGAAATGAATCTAACATGGATAAAGCAAAGAAATCAATAACCAACAGTGACATTGTATCTATTTCAAAAAAAATCACTATGTTGGAAATGAAGGAATTAAATGAAAGGCAGCGGGCTGAGCATTGTCAAAAAATGTATGAACATTTAAGGACTTCATTAAAGCAAATGGAAGAACGTAATTTTGAATTGGAAACCAAATTTGCTGAGGTTTGATATTAAATTTTTTATCATGCAATTAGAGGGTAAGGAATTTATGTAGACATTGTATTGTTAAAGCGTTTGTATCACTAAAGTGGCACATTAGTATAGTACTTGTGTTTTATGCAACAAATGAGATCTATTTAGTATTATAAAATCTGAATTGTTTAAAATATAGTGCAGCTTTTTCTCAAATGAGTTCTTTCATATCAGTGTTACATTGTTAGTTTTAATGTATAAAAAGGTATTAACTATACAGTGACAAAATGCTTTCCACTGTCAACCCCTGATTTAACAAGTATTTATTCAGTTGTCTGTTACATACCACATCCCATCTGGGAGTGAAGAATGGCAAGAAACAAAACAGGCAATAATCTCTACTTTTTGAAACTTTGCATTCTAAAGAGAGATCTTTGAAATTTTTAAAGTGGTCAGAATCATTGAGCTGACAGTATTACTGTACAGTTTGTAAATGTTCAACATTTTATGATTAAACAATACTTACAATATTGGCATACTTTGGGAAATTCACATTATCCAGAGCATAATGTTGTTTTTGTTCAAGTCACTAGCTGTCTATTAATGAGCTTATTAACTAATTCAAGTGTATTTATATATACCGAAGTAAAATACAATGAGTGTACTGAAACCCAAGCAAAGTAAGAATAACAGATTCAGATACTATGAATTGCCTAATATAAATTACCTTGAGAAGTTTAAACTGTAACTGTATGTTCCATAATTTATTCCCAAGTGTTTCCTCTCTTTATCCACTCTCTAAATTACAGAAAATTAAATCAGACTATAATATTCTGAAAGGTGAATTATAGGAAAAGCTTTATCCAAACGGATGTGTCTTGAGGGACAGCCCAGTGGTACAGCAGGCCCTGAGTTGCATTCCTAGCACACACACAACCCCCCATCTTGTATATTTGAATATTTGATTACTTTTTTTAGCTTACCAAAATCAACTTGGATGCACAGAAGGTGGAACAAATGTTAAGAGATGAATTAGCTGACAGTGTGAGCAAGGCGGTGAGTGATGCTGATAGGCAACGAATTCTAGAATTAGAGAAGAAAGAAATAGAACTCAAAGTTGAAGTGTCAAAGTAAGTGCATGCAAACATTTAGTCATTCGACCACATGTATCTTGTCTTATTTGTCTTTAAGAAGCTTACAGCTGAGCGTGGTGGCATACGTGTGTAATCCCTACACTCTGAGAGGCTAAGGCATGAAGACTGCAAATTTGAATTGTTGTCGCAAGATTTTTAAAAAATGTAATAGGAGTGAAGATATATCTCAGTGCAGAGGCTTTGGGACCAATCTCCAGTACCATTAAAAATTAATTAAAAACCTAGGCTTAATATTCTGAGGTAATTGATCCTGGTTTATTTTTTATAAAAAGAATTAGTAACACAATACTTTTTCAACATGCTTAAATAACATTGAAGGAAAAATTACCTCTGAAAATCTGTATTTTTTTGGAGTATAGAAATACTACTGAAGAAAGCACTTGGACTCAGGACTGTGAGGTCCACTTCACCTTTATACTGATGTTTTTTAGGGAGAGTAGAAGATGAAAGAGGAACGGTCCTCACTGTAAACAGGAAATACCAGTACTTCTCCTGCTTTCATAAGATTACTGTAAAAATATGAAAGATTCAGATTTTGATTTTATTTATATTACCTGCTTGCACTAGGCAGTGTGCAAGATACTAAACATAATAATCCATACAGTCTTAATGACTCTTACATAATGTTTTCACCTTGGGAAACAGGCCAGCTAAGTAGAGCACAAGATACGTGTGAAGAGTAAGTACTGTGAGCTGGCATGGAGTGCACACCTGTAATCCCAGAGAGAGGCTGCGTCAGGAGGATGGCCGAGTTCAAGGCCAGCCTGGCTCGTACAGTGAGTTCAGCCTGAACTCCACAGAGACCCTGTCACAAAAAAAGAAGGAAAAGAGTAAATGCTATATGCCAAGTAAATGTTACATAATTGTTTTTGTAATCATGTGCTACTTCAGGAGAAAAATATGGGTGTCCGGAGTTAATAGAGTTAATATGTTCTAAACAAATAATTGGTAAAAATATTTATATGGCTTCTTCTTAAAGTTGTGTGGCTAATGCCTTTGGGGCCTTGGTAGTCCTCAGTATTTGCCAACCCTTTTCTTTATAAAGGAGTCTTAATTTCATTCTTCCTGTCTCCTTGTGGATCTTGCCTTTTAAAATGACTGTTTTTTATTAGTACTTTTTTTGGTACTGGGAATCGAACTCAGGACCTCACTCATGCCAGACAGGCACTATTGCTGCTGAGCTAAATCTCTGGCTATTAGTACTTAATTACAGTACTTCTTGAGTACATTCTTTTGGTTGATTGATGTTTGTGCATGACACATCTTTATTCCTCATACCCTTTCTGTCTCTTGCAAAAGATTTATTTACTCTTTCATTTTGTCATTATAAGAGATGTATATTTTGAGGGGTTTTTTTCATATTTTTGGTAACTTATAAATTAAAAGCATTCAAAATGTAAATTCATCCAGGTTGTAACCCATTTTAGGAATTCAGAGTTTCTGTTTTTAAACCGTGTATTGGTAACAGATAACCCATTAAATACTTAACCTTTTTTGAAATAAGTATCTTAATGAAAACAAGTGTGGGAGTGTGGGATCAAGAGTCTTTGGTCATGTACAGTTAACATTAGAACTTCTCAGAACATTTAATATGTCATTTCAAGAAGGAGGGATGTTGGTAATGAAGGATTTTTATAACATAGTTGTCAATACCTCATGGAATTGGGTTTTATGAAACAGTTCAGGAAACTTCTGAATCCTGTATAATTTATACTAAAAAGAGATAGTAGAATCTTCAGAATTTCCAGAAAAGAATCTGTACATGTGAATTTGGTATTTGCTTAGAAAATGTACTTAATCATAACTGAAACACCTTATTGCTTACTAGACTGAGAGAGATTTCTGATATTGCCAAAAGACAAGTTGAAATTTTGAATGCACAACAGCAATCCAGGGAGAAGGAAGTAGAATCACTCAGATTGCAGCTGCTGGACTATCAGGTAGATGCAGTATTGGTTTTCCAAATAGAATCTACTTATTTTCTAAATTCACACTATACATTGATGTAGTATTATAGCTTTAATCTGAAGATATGCTACTCAAAGGTTCTTATTCTTACTAGTTGGAACATGATTAAAAACCCTAATTTAAAATACCATTTATAATCCAGAAAAGCAGTTTGTGCCTACAGATGCATCACACTGGGCACTGCTGCAAGTTACTAGGCTAAGCAGGAGTACTTAGTATTCTTTAATAACAGTGTTTCATCTTATACTTTGTGTAGATTTTCATGATTTTGGAGAATTAAAAAGTACACATACTTTATTATATTGTATCAATGTTATGATTTATGTGTAGAATTTTTTTAAAGTGATATTCCAACAGTTTCAATTTGTTAAATTTTACAAATATTTGGATTTTAACTGCTTCTTACATAATTCATTGGTAATTTATATATATATATATATATATATATATATATATATATATATATATATATTGTCTTTTTCTTTTTTATTGGTACCGGGGATCGAACTCATGACTGCCTGCCTGTAAGGCAGGCGCTTATGCCACTGAGCTAAATCCCCAGCCCCCAATTTATTGGTAATTATATTAAAACAGATTTTTTTTTGGAATTTCATATTCCATGTGGTTTCAAAATTGCGTTTAATTGTGATTTAAAATCTACTGTAAGTTCCTTTGGAAAAAATTGAAACTTACTATAAATATGTACTTCTTAATATTAGGCACAATCTGATGAAAAGGCACTAATTGCCAAGTTGCACCAACATATTGTCTCTCTTCAAGTTAGTGAGACTGCTGCTCTCGGGAAGTTGGAGTCAGTAACATGTAAGCTTCAAAAGGTGGAGGCCTACAATTTGCGCTTAGAGCAGAAACTTGATGAAAAAGAGCAAACTCTCTATTATGCTCGTTTGGAGGGGAGGAACAAGGCAAAACATCTGCGCCAAACAATTCAGTCTCTGCGAAGACAGTTCAGTGGAGCTTTACCTTTGGCACAACAGGAGAAATTCTCTAAAACAATGATTCAGCTGCAAAATGACAAACTTAAGATAATGCAAGAAATGAAAACTTCTCAACAAGAACACAGAAATATGGAGAACAAAGCACTGGAGTTGGAATTAAAATTAAAGGGCCTAGAAGAGTTAATAAGCACGTTAAAGGATGCCAGGGGAGCCCAAAAGGTAAAAATTGGTTTGAGGTTTAGTATTTTTAAAGTTACACAATAATTTTAAAGCTCTAATATGCATCTGTATGAAAAACGTTAAAAATACACTCTAGATTACAATTCTACTTCATTGTTTCAGATTTTTAATTAGTTTGGCTGTTTGAATGTCATTTATGAAAATGAAATGAGTTTCTGAAAGTCCAATAAAAATGCAGATTGTACTCAAAAGTGAAAATATATATTAAATTCTAATTGTAATTGTTCTTATATGTGTTACTGATTATTAATTGGTTTTTATTTTTATAACTATTACCCATTTAAAATTATTTCCAGTCATAGTCCTATAATTATTTTTTAATGACCTAATTGTTATCCTTAAGTGGAAGAAATTTAATGAAAAATAACTTTACAACTGAATTCTATTCTCTGGGCTCAACATATTTAGGATTTCCATTTCTGAAAGTAGAACTAGTGTGTGTGTGACATGTTTACAGTAAGCACTCAATGAACAAATGATGGAAAATGAAAAAATGAAAGTGAGCATTAGAGATATTCATTTCAAGTGAGTATTTTCTTGTAATATGCCAAATAATTTCAGAATCTAAATCGTAAGTAAACCTTGTCATGCAATTTGAACAAGTATAACGTTACAACTTAATCTTAGGTAATTAGCTGGCATGCGAAAATAGAAGAACTTCGTCTTCAAGAGCTTAAACTAAATCGAGAATTAGTCAAAGATAAAGAAGAAATAAAATATTTGAATAATATAATATCAGAATACGAACATACAATCAGCAATCTGGAGGAAGAAATTGTTCAACAGAACAAGGTTTCTAAGATTTTAAACATAAGAACTTGCATGAGCAACTCTTAGTTTAATTAAATGCAGCTTTTATAGATTATAAAAATAGCTTACTTTTCACTTTTTATGTTACTCTAAAAATACTCATTTGTTTAATTGTAAAACAGTAGTATTAAAAAGAATATTATGTAGTGAACTTAGAAAGTTATCTTTGATTTGACATTGGTTGTTTGACTCTCCACAGTTCTAAGTTTCTCCTGGCTTTCACTGATGGAGTAGAATACATTTCAATGTATAATACAGTGCATAGTAAGATACCTATAGTACTTATATTTTCATTGCCTTAAGATCTTAGCTCAAAACCTTTCTTGTTTTAGCCACCTGATACAAGATGGTAATTCCTACTACAGTATCACTTTTTCTTAAATAGGGATTACTTGTTTTCATTTTTCTCTGTAGTCTTTGTCATTCTGTCATATATTTGTTAGTGACTTTCTCTTTTTCACCAGAGTGTAATTCCATGTTAACAAGGACATGATTTTGTTCATTGCTGTGTTTACATTACTTAGAATAGTGTCTGGCACATAATATTATGTCATTAGGTGTATTTGAATGGAGAGATGGATGAATGGACAGGTCAGTACACTGAAATCCTGCTGTCACATCTGGCAAGCTCTATGATGTTAGCAAGTTACTTTCTTGCCTGAATATATGTATGCTTTTCCATAAAATAAGTATGATGGTAATCACAGAGGGTTGTTGTGAAGATTATATGGAAAAATGGATATAAAATGCCTGCTGTTCACCTGGGTGTGTATGCGTGTGTGTGTGTGTGTGTGTGTGTGTGTGTGTGTGTGTCTGACAAAACTGTCTTTGTTCAGTTTCACGAAGAACGACAAATGGCCTGGGATCAAAGAGAAGTTGAGCTGGAACGTCAGCTAGATATTTTTGACCATCAGCAAAATGAAATAATAAGTGCAGCACAAAAGGTATGAGACTGATCTTGTTTGCTCTTAGAGCATTAACAAATATTTTCTACATCAGATGTAATTTTAACTGATGTTATAGTCTTATATTTAAAATATGTCAGGTTTAACGTGTTTTATTTCATATTTGTAGAAATAACTACTTTTTAGTCTCAGTGCTACAACCAGTGTTTTTAAAAATATGACTTTTTTTAATAGTTTGAGAAGGCTACAGGAGCAATGCCTGACCCCAGTCTACCCCTTCCAAATCAACTGGAGATAGCCTTAAGAAAACTCAAGGAGAATTTTCGAATCATCCTTGAAACACAAACAACTTGCAAATCACTGGAAGAGGTAATCACAAGAATTTGATCAGTGTATTATCGGGTGTGTTCTAGGGATTTTCTAAATACTTTTTTTGATGAAGCATAAGATGATGAATTGGTTGCTTATTCTGTCTCTTTATGTTTTCCTCTAATGATTCTAATAGCCAGAAATCAATAGCAAGTATAGCTAATTTGAACATTTAATTACAGCTTGTCACTTTGGGGGCACTGATCAGCAAAAATGAGCATCAGAGGAAATAAAAGCATTCATAGCTTTATGTGCAATCCAGTACTTCCCTTACATGATCTTTTCATCCTTACATTTTATTTTGAAGTGCACATTGTGTATCCTGTGAATCAGTTTTACTGTATTCCTTTTATGATTTGGGAAAATGAAGACAAACTAGAAACCAATTATTTAATCTAGGTATTAAATTTGATTAATATGATCAAATCAAATATGTTAGAATATGATAAAAATTGAATACTATTTTTTGTTCCTAACTGAGCTTATTATCTATAAGTTAGTTTATTTATTTTATTATTATTATTATTTTTTTTTTTGTCTTTTTCGTTTTTTTTATC